ATGGCTTGCACGAAGAATGTCGGTGGTGGTCCTAGTGATGAGGATCGGAGACCCCCGCCTCGCCAGCCTGCAGATCCAAAAGGCAAGGCGACGAAGAAAATTGCATCAAAGAAGCAAAAATATCCAGATGCAGAGATAGCTAGAGAAGCCACAGTTGCTGAGGCCACAGAGCGTGCCGAGAGAGGAGGTACTCGCAGTGGAGTTGTTATTGAAGATCATCTCTCACCAGGAGCGAGGGGTCGACTTGAGCGTATTGAGCGTCTTCATGGTAGTCCACCTGGGACAATGATGATGCAAGGACGACGTCTTGCTATTGAGGAGCCTCAGTCTCAGGGGGAGTCACAGCAGGAGCCACAGCAGGAGCCCTAGCCAGCAGAGCCGATAGAGCAGGCTCAGGAGGGAGAGCAGGCAGAGCAGACAGACCAGGCACCACAGCCCTAGTTACGCCGCTCTGGTCGTACCCGTGCCCCAGTCACACCGAGGGAAGATACTCAGCGGAGGGGTTCTCATCCACCGCCCAGACCATAGGGTCCGCCTCTAGTGACCCATCTTGACTTGAGGGCCGCCACGGCCAAGCAGGTGCAACAGCTGAGGTTCGTGGACTTTGAGGTGTGGTTCCCACCGAGGAGGGATGAGAGAGCGTCAGAGGGCTTCTACACTCCACTACAGGAGGATTTCTACAATGCCTATCTCAACAGTGGGGCAGTTTTAGATCTCAGAGGGTATGCCACATTGACTCTATTGTAGCAGCAGTCGAAGAGCACATTCGCCCCTACCTTACATATCTGCTGGGGCTGATAGATCTGATTGGACGGACAAGATTATATGTTCCATCTTAGGTTCATCAGTTTTATGCTTCTCTCTAGATTGACCTGCACCATAACTTCATTCACTTTGGATTCAGAGGTAGAGACTACCGGTTGACGAGCACTAGGGTCAGGGAGATACTCAGGCTTCAGGAGCAGCCTGTCAGACTTCATGAGGTTTGCTATGGACAGACAGCGCCTCCCAGACGCCCGCATGGTGGTAATGTGCCCCCTACTGACTTGGTCTGACACTGTTTCACAGAGCCTTTTGGCGAAGGGTCGAGGAGGAACCCCAGTGATCTCAATCCCACTACTCGCGTGCTTGAGGCTATTATGAGGAGGACACTGCTTTCTAGGATGGGATACAGAGAGGGCTTGACCCGCATACAGTTGTGGCTGATTAACTCTCTGATGCAGTAGATAGTTTTTGATATTTGGGATCTTATTCTGTCAGAAATGGAGGACACTATAGCTGAGGGCTTCAGAGGTCATAGGCAGCTACCCTATGCTCACTGGATCACATTCCTTATCCACAGAGCAGTCATAGTGAGGCCGCCAGAGATGCTTGTTGAGTACAGTGATGCCACCATAGAGTTCCCTACCTATAACATGACTCAGATGATCAAGCACAGTACACCTACAGCACCTAGTCAGCCATGCCAACGTCCTGAGGTGCCAGAGACTGTAGCCCAGCAGGATGATATTATTAGGGGTATTGCAGCTATGGAGGAGGAGCTTGAGCAGCAGGAGGGAGTGGTCGTGAGCGACCCTAGTGACAGTTCTGATGATGACTACCAGCCCATCCCTCGGATGCCTCCTTAGCGACATGACCATGAGGCCGGCAGCTCCAGTTCAGCGCCACCTGCCCCGCAGACAGACCCCGCTCTCCTGGCTATTCTTGAGCGGATGAGGCAGGATCAGGCTCGCTAGGCACAGGAGACCTCTTCTACATTTGCATAGTTCTAGACTCGGCAGGATGAGTTCCAGCAATAGCAGCAGGCGATCCAGCAGCAGCAGCTGGTTATTCAGCAGCAGACTCAGGCTCTACAGCAGTAGCAGCAGGCCATGCATCAGCAGCAGATCCTCATGCAGTAGCAGCTTCTTGGATTTATGCAGCATGTAGTGACAGCTATTGGGGCTCTACCGCCACAGCCTTCGCCTCAACTTGGTCAGACTACCACTACAGTGACTCCAGCGTTACAGCCTAGTGGACTTCAGAGTCAGGGACAGCCACCGGCATAGTATGCTTCACCTACAGAGCAGGTGTCCTAGTGGTTTGCTTCGCTAGTGGTAGCCCCGCAGTTCACACCTCTTCAGACGGGCTTCACACCGGCTGAGACGTCATCGCTGCTAGTGCCAGAGACCACAGTGTCCAGGAGCCTTAGTGCTTCCTTTAGTGAGTTGATAGGGCACCCTACACCACCAGACCTATATGCCCCTGTACCTACCACCATTGCTCCAGTGACAGGCACGACAGAGACGCTCCCTTCCTCAATGGCATCATCAGAGCCAGCTGCTTCAGTCGCACCAGCATAGCCTATAGCAGCTCCAGCCCCTGATCCGACCCAGACTGCTTCAGCGTTGCTTCCAGCATCAGAGGGTCATACAACTCAGAGCTCTGGATCAGATGATGATGGCACTCAGTTCTAGCTCGCTCCTCGTACCTCAGCGCCTGACTCGTCCGCTGCAGCCCCGTCGACCGACCCTTAGGTTTTGGTGTTTGACACCAAAGGGGAAGAGGGTTCGAGTATGTTAGCCTTAGGGGAGCGACTTATCTAGGGGGAGCTTAGTTATTATATTAGCTTATATATTACATTTGGAGTTTTTATGTGTGATATCTACATGATCGTGATATATGATATGTGTGCTCTCTACTTTGAATTATTTATATGTCATATCACTTGTGCAATGCTTATTTGCCTTTGCTTCCGCGCTTTACTCCGATGCAAATGAGCTTTACTACTTGTATTCATACTTATTTCATATATTTTGAGTACATCATGTTGGCTTGGGTCGTGTAAGCTTGCCTAACACTTTTGTTCTTATTGTCAAAAGCTTATATGATCCAAGCATGTTAAAAACCTCATCTCTTTCACATACTCGTGGTAGTATTGTCATCAATCACCAAAAAGGGGGAGATTGAAAGCATCTAGGCCCCTAGTTGGGTTTCGGTGATTAATGACAATATGTGATTACTGTGACTAACGTGTGTTTTGCAGAGGCAATTAAGTTAGATCACGATAATGGAGATGGATTGGGCAATCATGGTGTTCATGCCCCTATGACGGAAATCATTTTGGTTTTCAAAGGATGGACGACAAGGTTAAGGATGGACTAGTTCTAAGTGTCGATTGGAGTTGAGGAGACACTTAGAGTAGTTTAGGACTTTGTTTTCACTTAGAGTAGTTTAGGACTTTGTTTTTCCTTTGGCCATACTATTAAGGGGGTATGGATGGGTAGCTTGACCTAGGTGAGTCTAGTGAGTTAGGTGTGGTGCACACTTGTTAAAACTAGCACTAGGTAGCTCCTAACTATGCCTAAGATCCATTGGAGCAAACTTCATTTACACATGATCGAGAGTTGGAAGTGAATGGAGGGTCAAATACTGACCGGACGCTAGTTCTGGTTTGACCAGACGCTAGCGCAGAGTTCGGTCAGTTCATTTGACCAAGGTGATTGCATCGGTTGCGACCGAACGCTGAGAGGTGATGTGACCGGACGCTGAGAGCCTACGTCCGGTCGTTTCTAGTAAGGTTCCAGAGAGGGAAAATCATGACCGGACGCGTCCGGTCACTCTGTAAACACTAGAATTTGGGGTGTACTGACCGGAGCGTCCGGTCACCCCGTAGAGGCACATAACGGTTCGTTTTTCAGCCCTCGTTATAAATAGAACCTCCACTCGTGTGTGGGGGTACTTTTGCTCATTCTAACAGCTGAGAAACACCTTTGAGAGTGCCAAGAAGAGCAAGGTCTTAGTGAGGTGATTGAGATTTGAGAATCCCAAAGAGAGCCCTCATTAGTAAGATCAAGAGTAGCAAAGTGTGCATCCACTCTTCTCCCTAGGCTTGTCGTGGTCAAGTGAGAGTTCATGCTTGTTACTCTTGGTGATCGCCATCACCTAGATGGCTTAGTGGTGATTGGAGAGCTTGGTGATCATCCGGAGAGCTTGTGGATGACCCAACTTAAGTTGTGAGCGGTTGTGGGTGATTGACCGCGACGGAGTGTCGAAGAATCAACCCGTAGAGAGCACTTGATCCTTGCGTGAATCAAGGGGCGCTACACCCTGCGCGGGTGCTCCAACGAGGACTAGTGGGGAGTGGCGACTCTCCGATACCTCGGCAAAACATCGCCGCGTTCCTCCTTCTCTATTTACTTTGAGCATTTACTTTGAGTATTTACTTTGAGTAATTACTTTGAGCATTTACATTGAGCAATTCAATTTTTCTCTTTACAATTCATAGAATTGCCATGCTAGAGTAGGATTGGAACCTAGGTTGCAAGTCTTTTGTGCGGTAGAACAATTAGAAACACTTTTTAGGCACAAGAGGTTAATTGGGCTAACCATAGAATTTAATTATTGCAAAGAAATTTAGAATTAGCCCAATTCAACCCCCCTCTCTTGGGCATCTTGATCCTTTCAGCCCTCAGCACCGTTGGCCCCCGAGCAAGCCGGGCGCGTCGGACCCTGGCGTAGGTGTGTTTATGATGATGGAACACTAGGATGAGCACTGCATGTTGAGACAAACGGGTAGAAGAGAGAGAAATCATATTCATACATGGAATGGAATGGAACTAAAGATGATGTAAACTACTACGGTACTACCTTAGGGGCAAGTACAACGCGGAGATATGCCTCGTCTGTATGATGTTTCTTTTGCGAAAAACACCCCACCGTCCCCAATTCAATGAGGAGAGAGAGGGAAACCGGCGTCTCACGAGACGACGCTCTCGGCTCGTGCTCCTAGGCCTCGTCGCCGGTCGAGAGCCGCGTTGTACAGGCAGGTCGTCTCCAAGCCTAGCGAGCGGGATCCAGATGTGGCGCGCTCGATTTTTGTTTCCGCGCCAAAACATCGGCATCGACGATGGTGAGCGCTGTGGCGAGAGCGGAGGACAACGTCGTGGCTGCTACGGCGGAGCCCAACGGCTCAAAAGCGGTGGCAACAACGGCGGGTGGGCATCACCGTTGGCACAGCAATGGCAAGGCGACAACGGCGTTTTGCAGAAGGGAGTTGCGGCGTCGTCTTCCCCCATAGGCCGTGGATCTGGCATGACGGACGACCTCTTCCCCCGGCCGTGAATCTAGCCGGTGGCTGGCCTCTTCTGCGGATCTCGCACAGCAAGGCCACTGCGCTCGAGATGCTCGAATGGCGCATGGTGGCCATGGTGTCTTGCATTGGCGGCTCGCCTTGCCCAGCATCTTGTGGCGCCAATATTGCTGCTAGCCTCCAAGTCAGTGATGTCGTGGAGGTGTTCGAGCTTATGCTCTAATGGCACACCACTTCAGCCCTGTTATGTCTCTACTTTCTAATACTTAATTTATGAGTTTTTTCAGAAAAAGTTGAATTCTACAGAATCAATCCTCGTGTACATGTACAGGCTGGAACCTAGGAGGATATAATTTTTTTCTCTGATATTTGCTGACTAATGTGTTGTATTTGTTTTAATGTACTGCTATTTGAAAGTTACATGAAGCGTTTCAGATTGCACAAATTCAGCCATTGCCTGCACAATGCAAAGGTCTAGTTTCTTCGTCTCAAACTTATCCAATGCAATTGATAACATTATATATTATATTATATTATATTATATTATATTATATTATATTATATTATATTATATTATATTATATTATATTATATTATATTATATTATATTATATTATATTATACCTTTGTTGTTTGTGGATGCGAAATCATGTTTTATTAAATAACAACACAATAATATATTAAAATAATACACGTAAGCATTAAATCACTTGTAGACAATTAAATAGACCACTCATGTTTATGTGTTGTCTTAGCCGTTTTTTAGTTATCTGTGTCTTAGATTCTGAGAACTTGCAAACATGTCACTATCTATGGGTAGTTGTCTAATAATTAATGACCGTTTTAATTAGGTGGGCCGGCACTCCCAGCCAGCGGGCTTGGATGGTATCAGTCCAGTCGTCCTCCATCAGTCCAGTCGTCCTCCTAGCTATAGCTAGCTACCCACGGGGCCTGCTGCACATCACCGTACCATCTCCATGACTCCATGAGTTTCTTTATTCCTTGACGCCGATCGTGTCGTTGTACCAACCAAAGGAGAAAAAAAATCGATCATTTATATTTGATCGAGACAATCAACAATAAGAGTAGTGATAGAAGAGAGAAGCTAGTATCGCGATAGATCCATCGTTGATGGTGTCGTGCAAGCAGGTGTTGTGCGCCGAGGACGCCGTGCAGGCGGTGCAGCGGCGGCGGACCCATGCCCGGCGCTGCTACGGGCCGGCGTCCGACGCCGAGTTCCTGCGCTCCATTGCCGACAAGACGCCCGGGAGGGACGACGATAAGGAGGAGGCGATGAGGAGGAGGAGGCAAGTGTACCTCAAGAGCTATGCCTTTGCCACCAAGGGGGAGGCCGCCGAGGCCAAGGGTAAGCCCGCCGGCCGAGGAGGTCCACGTGCCCGCGTCGACGCTGTCCTGCCGCCGACGTTGCTCCGGCGCCGCAAGACTACTCACGATGATGCAACCTGCAGCGGCAACAAGACCACGACCGCTGCTAGCTCTAGCTTCACTTCCATCTCCAACCCCAGCAGCATGTGGTGCCCCAGGAACGCGGGCAAGGTGCTGTCCCAGCTGCTCACTCGCCTTGTTTCCTGCGCATGCAACCCTGGTGCTGCTCCGTCTTCCGCCTAGTCTGACGGTTTTCCTCTTCGTGCACATCGTACTACTATCTTCGTTTCGTCAGGCAATGACCAAGCTAATTAACTCTATACTAATTTGTTAATCGCACCATGCGTTGATTATTCGTCATCATTATATATATATATATATATATACAGCCGTTGTAATAATTGATTGTAGCTAGCTAGTACTCTGTACTTAAATTATGTATGCTCGTCTTCAGAATCAGATTGACTGATATTTTTCGTCTAATAGAAATTACGACAAAGCTTTTGTTGTCCTTCCTAAAAAGATTGACTGGTATTGTTTTTATTTCATTCGATATATGTTATATAATGTCTTTGCTGTTGATTGCCATCCCTTGCTGCTGCATTGCGCTTGTGGCGATCATATCGATCCAGACGAGTAGTGGTGGAGTTAGGAATTTTTAGAAGTCTGGACAAATTTTATTGTGCAAAAAATCCTTACTCCATATATATATATATATATATATATATATATATAATTCTTCTTTAGCATAGATAAAACTTTCTTTATACTTCGTTGATGAGCCCAGCGGCGAGCCAGGGTGGTCACAGGGTGTGGATGAGTTTATATTAGATACTGATTGGAACCAAAATTTATATATAATACCGGGCAATCTTGATTTCACAACCGGATCATCCAGTTCTAAGAATGACTCTAATGATATAATGGACTCTCATAGTGGTGGTTAAAATGTATACATGCAACATCAAGTTTAGAATCCAAATGAGAGAACTGCGACCTTCAGAAAAATCCACCCGGTGCAACATGATGGTCGGTTTAAACTGTCTAGATTGAAATTTAAGTCGATTTTGACTGTCTAGATTGAGATTTGAGTCATTTTTATTATAACTCTTGATTTATTCGGATTCTTGCTCAGGGATAGACCTCCCATCCTATATAAACCATGGTCATTTAAGGGTATTTAATCAATTAAACATATACAAAATCTACTACCTTTTATCTCTTCAAACCCTAGTTTCTGTTCTATCTTCGTCTCCACGATGGCTTAAGGCATTCTATATAGTCTATCTTAGAACAATCCTACGTGCATTATTAGCCTCGTTTGTTCTCTCCAAGTGGTTCTGTTTTTGAAATCTGGTGATCTGAGTTTTTTCGAGTTTGCTTTAGGATATGTATATGTTCTAACGCTTTGACACGTGGTCACTTTCACGGTAACACATTTATATAGTTGTGCATATCCACATGCATCTCAATCCTATCTCCCTTCCTGGACCGTTTATAAACACTCTGCTCCGTCAACCCTCAATTTTCATTACCAAGCTAAGCTAATATAATACTGTGCATATACAAATATATAATATATTTCCTTTCCTCTAATTTTTAGTCCTTATTGACCTTTAAGTTGTAGATTTGTTTTTCAAGAATACACGGCAGACCTTGTATGTAAGAAGAGCCAAACTAAGGCAGCAAATACGTAAATAAAATGAAAGTGTCATCGTTTCTGCTGCATTTCATCATTGATTCACGCGCGGATTCATTTCTGCCACAGTTAAAGGCCTAAAGCGAAAATTTAGTGCGTGCGGTGCGGCTACCTAGCTCATCTTTCTCTCGTTCGCTAGCTGTTGAAAAGTGTGTGTATGTGGTCGACTTTAGGGCTTCGTTTCAGAGCAAAGGGGAGGCATGCTCACAAGCTGGACCAACCATAGTTGAGGGCCACTAGCTAGCTACTGGCTTTGCCCATGCAAAAGTTGCTCTTCTTATTTAAGGTCGTCTCTAATTGTACTCTAGAGCTTAGGGCACATACAACGCGTCAACACGAGCTGTTGTATACGGTATTTTTTGGAAAAAAAAAAAAAAAAAAACTCGCGAGCCAGGAGACGGACGAGGTCGTCGTCTCGCGAGGCAACGACGAAGGCTCATGCTCCTAGGCTCAAAGCGACGAGGAGAGAGCGATGTACACGGTCGTCGCCTCCAAAGCGAGGGGTGCGGATCGGGCTGCGGCATGTGAGAACGTGCGAGAGCGGAGAATCCGAGCTGCGCGCGAAAAGGTTCACCCATCGTTGGTCGCGGCGGCAACGGCCATCTCCCTTGGTCGTGGCCACGGCATGGCGGCAACACTCATCCCCGTTGGTCGCGGCCACGGCCCACGGCGTGGCGGCCACGGCAACATCGGGCAGCCGCGACTTCACCGAAGGGCGTGGCGGCAGCATGGCTGTCGCTGTCCAGGGTTCCTAGATCTCTTACAGAAGGCGACCGTGACTTCACCGACGCCCCTTCCTCCATCGGCGTGGCAGCGGCGGCTTCACATATGGGCCATCCCAGCCGAGGGCGTGTTCCCCATGGCTGGCATCTTCGACCCGTCCGTCCTTACTACGAGTGGTGCTAGTTCGTCGATGAGGTCCGTTCCTCTTCCCCACCTCCGTCCACTGTTGCTGAATGATAACAACTGCAGAGAAGACGAGCTGAAGATGATGCTGGTGATGACTAATGATCTGAACACTTGGTGGTGCTCGCGAATATCCTTGTTGAACGCATGTTTGTAATAATACACTATGAACAACAAAAAAGAAATAAGAAAATTTAAAACTCTGCAGAGCTTTTACCCTAGATATATCAGTCTTTCAAGCATCAACAGAAAGCTAATCATTCACAAATTTTCAATAGAACAAAATTACTTGTAATTACATGATGTGTCAAAGCATATATCATCGCACTTTCCCGCTTAGCTGCAGCTTCTTGCCTTTTTAATGCCTTAGCTTTCATTTCTTCTACCGAGCCTATACTGTCACACCAGTCTTCCTGCATATCATCGATAGGCAATAAGTTTTCGACAACAAAGTTTTACTTCAATAAACAAATCCCAGCTTGTTCATTACTCTGGGGAAACTGGCATCAGTAGCTACAATACTTCTTCAAGCCATGCTTGTTAAACACACAAATAGTTGAATATTTCCAAAGTTGTAGTTGATATTCTCTTCCACTGTCTTCACATGAGGTAGGGGACAGCAGAATTTTTTGTGCATGCCTTACAGAGCAAGCTTTTCTTAGTTTCTTAAACTACTGTTGGCAGCTGGTGCTTTCTGAAACAGACAAAATGTCAACAGTTTAGAGTTTACAAGAAACAGTGGATCATGCCAACAACACAACCTGGTCCTTCATGAAAGCATGGACAATCTTATAGTGAAACCAGAACAGAACCGGCGGCTATGGCTTTCGTTTTTCATTGATAAACTACTGCCAAGATCTGGTTTATGTAACCATGCATATAAAGATTAAGTATTTATTAGGGATAATATGTATGTTCCGACTTGCATTTGCAAAATATATATCATAATAAGCAAGTAACTACATGAATGATTACATGACACCAACATCTGGAGTACTGTTTCTCACCTCAATATCGCGAATATGGTCCTCGTGAACATTTTGTTCAGGAGGTCTCTTCTGGGTCCCTTGGCTTTCCAAAGAAACACGAACTCGTCTTGCTCTGACACGAGCTTGAGCTCTTACCAGCGCCTGCATGCACTGAAGTGTTTCTGCTGCTTGTTTTCTTACAGAATGACCCCTAACAAGTGCCTGGAGTCTAACTAGTCCTTTTAACGCCCGTACAGCACGTCTAGCCTGGTGAACATGCAAAATTATCAGACCAACTCTTGAGTTGCATACTGACACTACTAATAATGAAGAAATGACTAAAAAACACGACTTTTCAAGCAGTAGCCTTATCTTGAAAGATGAAGGATTAAGCACAATCTTATCTCATCTAAGCCGTTAAAACATTCACAATAGTTAAGGGATTTGTTTTTGGATAATTTTACTCAACCAGAACCTAAGTTGGAAGGTTAGACTTCACCGCATAACAGAATGCAATGTGCTCTATATTTTTCTTAGTTTTGGTAACAAAATGATAATTAAAGTATTCTTATAATACCAGGAATGCTCGAAAGGCAGACTGAATAACTACAGCAGCCTGATGCTCCTTTGTACCACGTTCAGTCTGAGAAACTTGAAGAGATGTGCTCGGGGAGGAAGCAGAATTCGATATTGTTTCTGTGTTCGCATCGCCAGCCAATGGTTCAGCTTGTACTCTGAGTTCTTCGGCTGCAAGAACGCCTTCTGTGCCTGCAGAATGATCCTGTTTGTGTAGCAACTGGGTAGCAGAGCTCCTCTGCAATTTTCAGAAAGTATTGCAGCAACATAATCAAAATCAATCAATCATAATTAAAAAGAAAAGCAAATAATGTTTTAACATAAATATGTGCAGCGTAGTGTCACAGAGGATGCGATGAGGGCCAAAAATACAGCAGTGCTATTTTGTTGGCATCAGCATAGAACTCGACGAACTGAACTAGGTTTAATCCTTTAGGTGTTGCTCAATTCATGGAATGGATGTAACTAGGTAACAGAAATAGAAGATACAGAACCAGACTGTAGTATCAGCTATTGCGCTTGATGAACCAGCTCACTATATCAGCAAGCTGAGTTTAATCATATCAGCATAACAATAAGGAAGAAATATAAACTATCACTTCAAAATGGAGGATGCAGTTCAGTAGTTGGTCCAACTCCAACTCCTTTTTTTGTCATATAATGGATGAGACGATGGAATAGTTATCAGTTTTGACAACATTAACACATTATCAGAAATGAAGATACCTATGCAGCATCAATGCATGGCGTGTGCTGATATTAACTACATGATGTATGGATGGCTTAAAAGGAATGTTGGAATACACTTGACCTACAGCTCACACAAATGTAACAAAAAAGTGGGACAACAGCCCTTATCGGATATCAGATGACAACGGCATGTCAACAACAAAAGTGGCTCCAACTTCAGATGAGTTCCGGTAAAACATCTGTGTTAGCATAAGCAAAGCATCTCATGGGAACGCAGACTAAATCTCAAGCTATAGACAGATGCACAAGTGCACAGTGAGTTACCCCAGCACTGCATTCAGCATTTCGCCGCTTTTCATGCTTTCTTATCCCAACCAGTGATTTTATCCACTTAGCTGAAATCCCCATGATAGCACTTTCTTATCCTGTAGAATTGTTGCAAAATTTAAGTGAGGTTGCTGAACACACACATCAATTGTTGCTCCGATAGCAAGAAGCAAAATACAAAAGTGGAAATCCGTCCTAATCTAAATATCGAACGAGGCATGGAAAAGCATGAACGGTTAACAAAAATACAGTCTTGCAAATGTCCAAAACTCCGTGGTGGAAGGGAAAAAAGGGGGATAGCATTGCAACCGATACCCAATTCACAAACTCCTAGAACTCTCTGCAGCTGGTACCCACACAGAGCAAAAGCACTTCTTGGCAACTCATATTCAGAACTTGTAAACGAGCAAAAAGTCTACGGAAGCGAGAACAGTATTAGTAGCCGCATCAAAGGGGAGGCAGAATCTCACAGGCGAAATGCGAGCTAATTTCACAAACAAGACCATGGATCGGGTAGAGCGAGACAAAGCTTAATCCAGGAGCGAACCCAACCACAGATCAGAGTGGTAGTTACTGCCGCCCAACAACAGCAAAAACAAGCAGCTCATGCTCTGGAATTTCATCAACTCATACAGCGCGCTCCAATAAACTCCTTAACAAAGCAAATCATAGTGAATGAATGAATTGGGAGGGCAAGCTCCGCTTGCCATGATCGGAATGCGCCGGGCAAACATTACTCATGGCACAGATCCACCACAATTCAATGGCATAAGTCAAGGTAGAATCAGTAGTAACAGGGAATGATAAATAAAGACCGAATTTCCACTCAGCCCCCAACACAGTTCATCCGATTAAAGTAAAGCATTGAGCACCGGATGAACTGTGTTGAAAAGCATTGAGCACACGAATAAAAGAGTTGTTAGATAGTGGTTCAAGTAATCAAATTACTACAACACTTGCTAGCTAGATAGTGGTGGTTAAAGGTAGTGATAATCGCTACAGATTAGTCCTTGGGTAATGACAGGAACTCGGATGAGGATGGAGCCACAATGCTACATCTTAAGACGGCAGATACACTTCTTTCTACTCCTAGTGCCACTCTAGTTTTTGGACTTCCCCTTCAGTTGACATCTGGTGCAGTATACAAAGCAGCCTTGGCTCCATGAGATTAAACATGTTTGAGACATCTTTCACATCGAACATGTTTCTGGACATGAACGGGTGTGGTGCCGCTCGCACCTGCTGAAGGCGCTGTCACGCTGTTTGTGCTGCTCTTCCTCTTGCGTTTGCTTGCTGTTGCCAGTCCTGAAGAGCCTGCTGCCGCCATTGAGCCTGCCAAGCCGGAACCTGATTTGGATGCATTCCCCGTGGTGGTTGAAGAAAGGTCAGCGGATGGGAAATATAGATTATCTGCTGCCTGCCCAGGTACCTTGTTGCTGCTGTTGCTGCTGCGTCAGCTTCAACTGTTGAGTGGCCGTAAAGCTGCAGTGCATCAGTACTAGCGGTGGCAATGGCTCGTGCTTCATTTCGATGAAAGGGCGCTGCCAAGGTAGGTAGCAAAGCTTGAAAGTTCTGTGGATAGGGGGCTGGCATCGCTAGTAATGGGATCTTCTCGGTGGCGGCTGCTATGGCTGCACGGAAGGCCTCCTCTGTCCCCATAGCTGCAGGGACACCACAATAGTCCTGAGAGAGGTGGGCCTCTCCGTTGCACCGCACCTTCAGACAGCCCTCTCCAGTCCCTCTACCACAATTGACATTGTTGCTCAAAAAGTTCACGATATTGGTGAACAGTCCATTTGCCCCGGGGTTGGAGGTGAAGCGCATCAGCTGATGTAGATAGAGGTTCTTAACGCCATCACAGATCCAGGCGGGGCTGTTGATGGCGTTGTCCATGTTCCCATGGCATTGAGGAACTGGTTTATGTCCCTTGTCTTCAAAGCCATTAGGAGACCGTACAGCTTGGTTAAGACGGCAGATTGGCCCATGGCATCCTCATGCGCCGGATGAGACTTGAGGAGTAGGTACTGGTCAACTGTGAAGGTGGTGAGGAGGTCCAGGAGGTCTTAAACCTCTGGTGGGACAGGTCCAAAGCGCTGGATCTGATACAGATGCTACCGTGCAAAATTAGCCAACACAGTCATGTCCCTGGATCTGCGCATGTCATCCAATGGGACGAGCCTGTCAAAGAGTGCCCTAGTGCCCTTTAGTGATCCATTGAGGTGGACACAAAAGCCATCTATGATAAGTGTTCCATCCAGGGAGAAATCATGGCTGTGCAGTCGAATCATCCTGTAGACCAATGCTACTGTGGTATTCCTTGTTAGTAATCCTAGCGCATGAGTCAGTCGGTTAGTTAGCTTTGCATGTTTCTATTTCAACATTGCATGCGCACGAGCACCAACCTGTGGTTGCCGTGCGCATAGAAGGGGGTGGTGAGATTAGCTCACACACGATCCGGGGATGAACGGTGATTCAGCGGCATCGTGGGCACGGGGATGGACGTGCTCGCTGCGCGGTGCGTAGCTGACCACTGCGTGGTCCTGTTCTTTGTATTCACAGAATAAAAAGGCGAAGTAATATACAGAAAACGCTGCTGATTGTTGCGCAGCACCAAACCTCTGAGTTCCAAGCGTTCTTGAGTTTGAGTGTTTATGTGTTCCTACGATTGTCATCGCGAGCTCGCCGGGCGTCAGGAACGCCGGTTCAGAGCTAACAATTGGTATCCGAGCTGTGAGAGAGGGCCTAGCGCGCCGCCATGACGTCGCCGAAGGGTCGAGGCCGTTCGCCGCTGCCGGCGGACACGAAGGAGAAGGGCAGTGGCTCCGACAGCAAAACTCCACCGCGCACGCCGTCTTCAAGCCGCTCGCCGTCGTGCCGTTCGCGGACCCGCGACGCCCGCCGTTCGCGAACACGCCGTCCACGCAAGGTCGTGATCGAGCGCGTGATCCGTGAGACCAACGGGTCTGGCAACTGGCCGCAACTCACCAAGACCAACTACGACTCATGGTCGTTGTTGATGAAGCTGAAGCTCCAGGCGCATCACTTGTGGGACAGCAGCATTGGTCTACTGGATGATTCGACTGCACAGCCATGGTTTCTCCCTGGATGGAACACTTATCATAGATGGCTTTTGTGTCCACCTCAATGGATCACTAAAGGGCACCAGGGCACTCTTTGACAGGCTCGTCCCATTGGATGACGTGCGCAGATCCAGGGACCTGACTGTGTTGGCTAATTTTGCACAGCAGCATCTGTATCAGATCCAGTGCTTTGGACCTGTCCCACCAAAGGTTCAAGACCTCCTGGACCTCCTCACCACCTTCACAGTTGATCAGTACCTACTCCTCAAGTCTCATCCGGCGCATGAGGATGCCATGGGCCAATCTGCCGTCTTCACCAAGCTGTACGGTCTCCTAATGGCTTTGAAGACAAGGGACATGAACCAGTTCCTCAATGCCATGGGAACATGGACAACGCCATCAACAGCCCCGCCTGGATCTGTGATGGCGTTAAGAACCTCTATCTACATCAGCTGATGCGCTTCACCTCCAACCCCGGGGCAAATGGATTGTTCACCAATATCATGAACTTTTTGAGCAGCAATGTCAATTGTGGTGGAGGGACTGGAGAGGGTTGTCTGAAGGTGTGGTGCAACGGAGAGACCCACCTCTCTCAGGACTATTGTGGTGTCCCTGCAGCTATGGGGACAAAGGAGGCCTTCCGTGCAGCCATAGCAGCCACCACCGAGAAGATCCCATTACTAGCGATGCCAGCCCCCTATCCACAGAACTTTCAAGCTTTGCTACCTACCTTGGCAGCGCCCTTTCATCGAATTGAAGCACGAGCCATTGCCACTGCTAGTACCGATGCACTGCAGCTTTACGGCCACTCAACAGTTGAAGCTGACGCAACAGCAACAGCAGCAGCAAGGTACCTGGACAGGCAGCAGATAATCTATATTTCCAATCCGCCGACCTTTCTTCAACCACCACGGGGAATGCATCCAAATCAGGTTCCAGCTTGGCAGGCTCAACGGCGGCAGCAGGCTCTTCAGGACTACCAACAACAGCAAGCAAACACAAGAGGAAGAGCAGCACAAATAGCGTGACAGCGCCTTCGGCAGGTGCGAGCGGCACCACACCCGCTCATGTCCAGAAACATGTTCGATGTGAAAGATGTCTCAAACATGTTTAATCTCATGGAGCCAAGGCTGCTTTGTATACTGCACCAGGCCATGTCAACTGGAGGGGAACTCCAAAAACTAGAGTGGCACTGGGAGTACAAAGAAGTGTATCTGCCGTCTTAAGATGTAGCATTGTGGCTCCATCCTCATCCGAGTTCCTGTCATTACCTAAGGACTAATCTGTAGCGATTATCACTACCTTTAACCACCACTATCTAGCTAGCAAGTGTTGTAGTAATTTGATTACTTGAACCACTATCTAACAACTCTTTTATTCGTGTGCTCAATGCTTTCCAACACAGTTCATCCGGTGCTCAATGCTTTACATTAATCGGATGAACTATGTTGAGGACTGAATGGAAATTCGGTCTTTATTTATCATTCCATGTTACTACTGATTCTACCTTGACTTATGCCATTGAATTGTGGTGATCTATGCCATGAGTAATGTTTGCCCGGCGCATTCCGATCATGGCAAGCGGAGCTCGCCCTCCCAATTCATTCATTCACTATGATTTGCTTTGTTAAGGAGTTTATTGGAGCGCGATGTATGAGTTGGATGAAATTCCTGAGCATGAGCTGCTTGTTTTTGCTGTTGTTGGGCGGCAGTTACTGAAGCTCTGATCTGTGGTTGGGTTCGCTCCTGGATTAAGCTTTGTCTCGCTCTACCCGATCCATGGTCTTGTTCGTGAAATTAGCTCGCATTTCGCCTGTGAGATTCTGCCTCCCCTTCGATGCGGTTACCAATACTGTTCTCGCTTCCGTAGACTTTTTGCTCGTTTACAGGTTCTGAATATGAGTTGCCAAGAAGTGCTTTTGCTCTGTGTGGGTACCAGCTGCAGAGAGTTCTAGGAGTTTGGGAATTGGGTATCGGTTGCAATGTTATCCCCTTTTTTCCCTTCCACCACGGAGTTTTGGACATTTGCAAGACTGTATTTTTGTTAATTGTTCATGCTTTTCCATGCCTTGTTCGATATTTAGATTAGGACGGATTTCTACTTTTGTATTTTGCTTCTTGCTATCGGAGCAACAATTGATGTGTGTGTTCAGCAACCTCACTTAAATTTTGCAACAATTCTGCAGGATAAGAAAGTGCTATCATGGGGATTTCAGCTAAGTGGATAAAATCACTGGTTGGGATAAGAAAGCATGAAAAGCGATGGTTCGTCGTCGGTCGCCGCCTTGAGCCGCCCAGTGACCTCCTTGATGGAGAGTGTGTCGATGTCGAGGAGGGTCTCGATGGAAATTACGAGTTGCTTGTACCTTGGTCGAGCGACGCGGAGGTACTTGGCCACCACCTTCGGCTCCGGATCCGGGTCGCCGAGGATCGCCCGCCTCTGCACGATGTTGGAGAGGCGCAGGGCAAAGTCCTCGACGGACTCCCCGTCGCGGAACGTAATCTGCTCGTACTCCGCACGGATACTCTGCGCCCTCGACTTCATCACGCGCTCGTCACCGATGCGCATCGAACGGATCGCCTCCCACGCCTCCTTGGCTGACAGCTTGGTCGCCATGGTGGGCACCATCTCCGGGGGCACGCCGGAGCAGATCGCCTCCAGGGCGGTTCGGTCGTCGTGGAACTCGTCGTCACCGGACTCGATGATGTCCCACAAGTGACGCGCATGTAGCTTCAGCTTCATCAAAAACGACCATGAGTCGTAGTTGGTCTTGGTGAGTTGCGGCCAGTTGCCGGACCCGTTGGTCTCGCGGATCACGCGCTCGATCACGACCTCGCGTGGACGGCGCGTTCGCGAACGGCGGGCGTCACAGGTCCGCGAACATCGCGACAGCAAGCGGCTTGAAGACGGCGTGCGCGGTGGAGTTTTGCTGCCAGAGCCACTGCCCTTCTCCTTCGTGCCCGCCGGTGGCGGCGAGCGGCCTCGACCCTTCGGCGACGTCATGGCGGTGCGCTAGGCCCTCTCTCACAGCTCCGATGCCAATTGTTAGCTCTGAACTGGCGTTCCTGACGCCCGGCGAGCTCGCGATGACAATCGCAGGAACACAGAAACACTCAAACTCAAGAACGCTTGGAACTCAGAGGTTTGCTGCTGCGCAACAATTAGCAGCGTTTTCTATATATTACTTCGCCTTTTTATTCTGTGAATACAAAGAACATGACCACGCAGTGGTCAGCTACGCACCGCGCAGCGAGCACGTCCATCCCCGTGCCCACGATGTCGCTGAATCACCGGTCATCCCCGGGTCGTGTGCGAGCTAATCTCACCACCCCCTCTTGTGCGCACGGCAGCCACAGGTTGGTTCTCGTGCGCATGCAATGCAGAAATAGAAACATGCAAAGCTAACTAACCGACCGACTCATGCGCTAGGATTACTAGGCAGCGAACACCTTGCTCTTGGTGAAGTGGAGCTGGCTGTCGTGGCGGATCGACACCGTCTTGCTGTCCTGCAAGAACGGCGAGCACCGCGCCATTGCCAACGTCTACTACCTGCCCTGCCTCACCGCCAACATCGTCTCCGTCGGCCAGCTCGACGAGATCGGGTACCAAGTGCTGGTAGAAGATGGCGTGATGCGTGTTCGTGACGAGGAGCGGTGGCTCCTTGCCAAGATTCACCGCAACCCAGGCCGGCTCTACATGCTCGACGTCGACAACGCACGGCCGGTCTGCCTGGCGGCGCAGGGCGATGAGGAAGCCTGGGTGTGGCACGCCCGCTTCGGCCACCTCCACTTCGCCGCGCTGCGCAAGATGGG